CAGCCACGAGCGCTCGCCCAGGGCGTGCGCGCCCGCTCTTCGACACGCTGCAGGCTGAGGTGCAGCCCTCCGCTGCTGCTCCGCCCGGCCCCCTTTTCCCCGGCCCGCCCCGCTCTGCCCCGCTCTGCCCCCTCTGCCCCGCTCTGCCCCGCTCTTGCCCGCTCTGCCCCGCATCTGCCCCCTCTGCCCCGCTCTGCCGCTCTGCCCCGCTCTTGCCCGCTCTGCCCGCTCTGCCCCCGCTCTGCCCCGTTCGGCCCCGTTCGCCCCGTTCGGCCCCGTTCGGCCCCGTTTGCGGCCCCGTTCGGCCCCGCTCTCTCGCGCCCCGCCTCTCTCGGCCCCGCTCTCTCGGCCCGCTCTCTCGGCCCGCTCTCTCGGCCCCCTCTCTCGGCCCCCGGCTCTCTCGCCCCCTGCTCTCTCGGCCCCGCCTCCTCGGGCCCCGCTCTCTCGGCCCCGCTCTCTCGCCCGCTCTCTCGGCCCCGCTCTCTCGGCCCCGCTCTCTTCGGCCCCGCTCTCTCGGCCCGCTCTCTCGGCCCCGCTCTTTCTCGCCCGCTGCTTTCTTTCCTTTTTTCGGGGGGGGGCCCCCCCCCCCCCCGGCCTTTCTTTTCCCTTTCGGGGGGGGGGGGGGGGGCCCCCCCCCCCCCCCGCTCTCTCGGGCCCCCCTCTCTCGGCCCCGCTCTCTCGGCCCGCTCTCTCGCCCCGCTCTCTCGGCCCCGCTCTCTCGGCGCCCGCTCTCTCGGCCCCGCTCTCTCGGCCCGCTCTCTCGGCCCCGCTCTCGCCCCCGCTCTCTCGGCCCCGCTCTCTCGGCACCCGCTCTCTCGGCCCCGCTCTCTCGGCCCCGCTCTTCGGCCCCGCTCTCTCGGCCCCTGCTCTTCGGCGCCCGCTCTCTCGGCCCCCTCTCCGCCCCCGCTCTCTCGGCCCCGCTCTTCTCGGCCCCGCTCTCTCGGCCCCGCTTCTCTCGGCCCCCTTCTCTCGCCCCCTCTCTCGGCCCGCTCTCCGGCCCCGCTCTCTTCGGCCCCGCTCTCTCGGCCCCGCTCTCTCGGCCCCGCTCTTCGGCCCGCCTCTCGGCCCCGCTCTTCTCGGCCCCGCTCTCTCTCGGCCCGCTCTCTCGGCCCCGCTCTCTCGGCCCGCTCTCTCGGCCCCGCTCTCCTCGCGCCCCGCTCTCTCGGCCCGCTCTCTCGGCCCGCTCTCTCGCCCCGCTCTTCGGCCCCGCTCTCTCGGCCCCGCTCTGTCCCCGCTCTGCCCCGTTCGCCCGTCGCCCCGTTCGGCCCGCTCTCTCGCCCCGTTCGGCGCCGCTCTCTCGGCCCCGTCCCGGCCCCCGTCGCCCCGTCCCGGCCCCGTCCCGGCCCCGTCCCGGCCGCCGTCCCGGCCCGTCCCGGCCCCGTCCCGGCCCCGTCCCGGCCCCGTCCGGACCCCGTACCCGGCCCCGTCCCGGCCCCGTTCCCGGCCCCGTCCCGGCCCCGTACCGGCCCCGTCCCGCCCCGTCCCGGCCCCGTCCCGCCCCGTCCGGCCCCGTCCCGCCCCGTCCCGCCCCGTTCCCGGCCCCGTTCCCGGCCCCGTCCCGGCCCCGTCCCGCCCCGTCCCGGCCCGTCCGGCCCCGTCCGGCCCGTCCGCCCCGTCCCGGCCCCGTTCGGCCCCCGTCCCGGACTTCTCAGACCGCAGTCTGAATTCCAACTTAACAGTGTCGAAAATCCCGCCACCCGTTCTGATCTCGAACCCAAGGCGCTCCTTAGTCGCAGACTTTGCAGCGACATCAATCACGTTACCTCCTCCTGGTTAAGGGCTCCGAGGGCGGAGAGGTGAGCGTCGCCAACAAGATGTTCGTGCATCCGAAAACTTCACCGTGAAGGCGCCTTCCGGCGAGCGAAGCGTGACAGCTTCCGCTTCCGGCGCGACGAGGAGACTTCCTGGGTCGGAGAACGAGGCTGCCGCGCCAGGCCATCAACCGGTGGGTGGAGGCGGCACACGCAGGGCGAAGATTCGAAACCTCTTCGCCGCAAGGTACAGCCTCTGCGGCTCGCTCAAGCGCCGCCTAAACCGGCGCCCGCCTTAACGGCGCCCGCTCTTAAACGCGCCGCCTTAACGCGGCCGCGCCTTAACGCGCCCGCCTTAACGCGCCCGCCTTTAACCGCGCCCGCCTTAACGCGGCCCGCCTTAAACGCGCCCGCCTAACGCCGGCCCGCCTTAAACGCGCCGCCTTAAACGGCGCCCGCCTTAAACGCGGCCCCGCCTTTAAACGCGCCCGCCTTAACGCGGGCCGCCTTTAACGCGCCCCGGCCCCCTTAAAATTTCTCCTTCCCTTGCCGTTCGGCCCCGTTCGGCCCCGTTCGGCCCCGTCCCGGCCCCGCTCTGCCCCGTCCGGCCCCGTCCCGGCCCCGCTCTGCCCCGTCCCGGACTTCTCCAGACCGCAGCTGAATTCAACTTAACCAGTGTCGAAAATCCCGCCACACCGTCTGATCTCGACCCCAAGGCGCTCCTAGTCGCAGACTTTGCAGCGACATCAATCGCGTTACCTCCTCCTGTTGAAGGGCTCCGAGGGGGTGGAGGTGAGCGTCGCCAACAAGATGTTCGTGCATCCGAACTTCACCGTGAAGGCGGCCTTCCGGCAGCGAGCGGTGGACAGCTTCCGCTCCGGCGCCGACGAGGTAGACTTCCGGTCGGAGAACGAGGCCGCGCGCCAGGCCATCAACCAGTGGGTGGAGGCGGCCACGCAGGGGAAGATTCGAAACCTCTTCGCCGCAGGTACAGCCTCTGCGCTCGCTCAAGCGCCGCCTTAACGCGCCCGCCTTAACGCGCCCGCCTTAACGCGCCCGCCTTAACGCGCCCGCCTTAACGCGTTCTATAAGCGACAGGGCTCTACTCGAGTCTTGCGAACAGATTTATGAAATGCATAGTAATTCATTATTATACGACCATTACAAATAAAATAAACATGTGGCCTGAGAATAAAGATATTGATATAATTACGGTGGCTAATTATGGTAACTTGTAACGTTTGTTTAACTCGTCGCGGTTTTCCATTTCCAAACCCGGTAAGACATCACTTTTGGCGATCGGGGGATGGGGTAGGTGATTTGGTGTGGAAAGGGACGCTTCTGAAATGTCTCGCATGGCAAGCATCACCCTCAAAACTTCATTGTACATCCACAGCGCGTTTATTCATCTTTTCAAGGCCAGCTGAGCCAGGACTCGGTGCTGGTGCTCGTGAATGCCATCTACTTCAAGGGCGAGTGGCTGAAGGCGTTCAAGCCGAACCAAACGGTCAACGAGCCCTTCCACTCGTCCAGCGCCGACAGCGTCCAGGTGCCCATGATGAGGGGCACGTTCCGTGCGGGGCACACCCGCCTGCGAGAGCACAACGCTTCCGCCGTCGAACTGCTCTACAAGGCGAGTTTCCTCTCGTGGTAACACACTAACACGTCGATGTTAATAAATCATCGAACGAATATCTAAAATAGTTTTAAATCGCCGTGAGCAATGGCCTCTACTGATGTGGCATCGGCGAGGAGTGTCTCCTCTAGTGGTAACAAAACATCGATGTTACCGAACACTGATGTTTAAAATTGAAACATCGGTTTTAATAAAACATCGAACAAATAACTAAAATGGTTTTAAACATCACCACGAGCAATGACATGCAGTGATGTGCCATCGACAAGGCGAGTCTCTCTAGTGATAAAACATCGATGTTATTAAAACATTGAACAAATTACTAAAATAATTTTAAACATCGCCGTGAGCAATGGTCTCTAGTGATGCGGCATCGGCAACAAAACATTATCATTAAAGTGATTAAAATCGAAGTTTCAATTTTAGATATTCAAAGGGTCAGAGCTCAATTCACCGAAGAAGGGAACGGGGAAGTAGGAGGGGAGGCCTTATGCTCACTGGGCACTGGGCAAGTCCATGTGCGAAATTCAAGGAAAGTCATAGGAGAGGGCATCGAGGTCATTTCGGGCGAGAGATGGTATGCTCAATGAAGGCTGTGCAAATCGCGAACACAAGCTGACAGTTATTTCAGATTTTAACCTTTACAAAATTAAGGGAATTTTTGGTTCGCAAAGAAAATATTGAAAACCTAAAACAAATTTGAACAAAACATAATGTTAAAATACATCTGCTTTAATATTATAAATAGATTTAAAATGTCGTCCTAGATGTCTCTATCCCTACTCAACTCGAAACGGTAGTGGCTGCTCCTTTAAACAGGCGGGAATTTACAAATGGGGACAAACTTAAGCATAGAGTGTAGAGCATACTACAGATTTGCAAGCAACTGAATTTTAAACTGTCTAAGATCACTTTTAGGACGACAACAGAAGATACAATTGTGCTCACAAAAATAGAGATAAAAACAATTGGGGCAAACAAAATAGTAGTAATTTATGAAATCAAATATGAGTAGTGGTTTTTAACTTAATAGACGCGGAACGAAATTCTATTGGCAACATGCTGCCACCATCCAACTTTCATTAGCCCCACTCTTCCTTGTGCAATATCATTGCTAAGCATGCACGCGCTCCAGCCAGAGAAATTAAATTTGTTCTCAAGACTAGAGTTGGTTCTCAAAACTTTGATTTTGATATGGTTTACTTTGTAAAATTAAGTTTCTGGGGAGTTCGTCATTCTGGACGAGTTAACTAAGATGCCTGGTAACCAACCAAAATATTTTAATAGAAAAAAATGCTGCCCTTAAAAAACCTCGCCTTTTAAACCTCATTCATTTATTTGTGCATGTTTCTCAGTGAGTTGACAAAAGCCTTTAAACTTTCTTTATGAATTAGATTTTTTATTCTGATGTAAATGATAAGCTGAGCATTTTATCAATGTAAACATTGGAATAAATAAATAATGAGTATATAATTACAATTTGGCGTCTTTTGAAACTCTTTTGGTAGGTAATTTCGTACGAAACCTTATTAAATACCACTCAAGAATTGTAAATTTCCAGATAAATTTCAGAGTTACTAATGGCTCAGGAATCAATTTCCTTAGATGTACACGAGGTAACTCAAAAGTTGTAACTTTTTTAATCGAACTTGATATCAACAAAATGTTAAGCAGGTTCTTTATTTTTTAAGAATGTTCAATGGTTTGTCAAAATAAGAAATCTAATAAGACTCTCTCTTTCTTTGGCTAGTCTGTCTATTGAAAACATCCTGATTAAATGGCAGTAAATAACTCACTGACCAATAATTCCATAGTGACAAATTCATTACTTTTCATCTTGTAACACTGACTTTGATTTTGTGATTCCAGGGCTCTTCCATGCGCATGCTGATATTACTTCCAGATGAAGTGGATGGCCTCCCACGTCTTGAGGAGAACCTTGATTCAATAAATTTTACTGCCCTAAACTTCTATCCATGGGAAGTGGAAATTAAAATGCCAAAGTTCAAGATTGAATCTAAGTTAGCTCTGAAGGAGCCACTTTCTAGGGTAATATCCTTTTTCTAGCTTGTAGAATATAATGCCCTAACAAAATTGAAATGGTACTACACAAGCATGGTACTCTTTATTGCGTCTTGATAGAAGGTAAAAAGAAGCCATTAAAAACAACGTAGTGGAATGTTATTATTTTAAGGACTAGTTTTTGAGGAAACAAATCCCCTCTCCTAGAATTAGCTAAACACCCGAAGTATTCACAACTAATAGATAAAGCTTTTAGTTACATTATTAGTTTACATAAAGCTTTTGTAGATACCTTTAACATGTACAATAAAACACTTAAAATATTCAGCCAAAAGGTTTTATCTCATAAATAATTTTAGGCTATTCAAATTAGTGCAGATTTTTAACAGTCAGTGTATGATACTTTGTGTACCTTTTCCAAATGCTTCACACTGTATCAAGTTGCAGACATTATTAATGGAGAAACTTCTTTCAAAAAAGTAAATGTTACTTAGGATATTAAGTTGATTGAAAGGGTTTTCTCTCAGTTTAATGAAAGTATGAAAATCCTATCTCATTTTTTTTTTATTATTATTTCTCTTATTTCTTTTTCAGCTTGGAGTTACAGATTTGTTTACCCCAAGTGCCAACCTCAGTGGACTCACTGATGTACCCAACGTGTCTGTATCAAAAGTTTTGCAGAAAGCATTTGTGGAGGTAAACGAGAAGGGAACTGAAGCTGCTGTTGCTACAGGTAAACACACAGATTTTAAGATTAACATACAGATTAAGATTTGCAGCACACAGTATTTAGACCAATGCTTTATTCTTAACAAAACATGTTAATCTAGTGAACATTCTATTTAATTATTGAAATATTAAAACAAGAAATTTAGACTGGTTAAGTGGATATCTTTTAATAAAGTGTGAAAAATGGTTCTTGGGTACCAATATTTATAATACTTAATAGCTTTTTAATTTTTTTTTATGGTCACTACATCATCAAGAATATTTTCAGTTTTAAAAATATTAATACCTAGATATTTTTCTCCTCAAGAAATGTATTACTGATTTTGTATTATCATTAATATTATCATGGCTGCTACCATGTGATACTTTATCGAAATAAAATTGAGTATGTATCAGGAAGTTGTGAATAAAGTGAGCTGAAAAAGCTCTATAACTTCCTTCAGATTTGGGTTAAGTATCACATTAAAAAATGTTGGGGACAATGATATTCATTGACAGTATTTCATAAAATCTTCTGACAACCTATTTATAGCATTAAACAGTGCTCATAAAAAATGTTGCAATGTAACATGCAGTAGTGTTTTTCATAAATATAAATGAACTGAAATTAATTCAGAAAATTACTTTCTGTTGCAGCTGTGGAATTTGTTGCAAGATCTGGCAGGCGTCGAATAAGCTTTACGTGTGATCATCCCTTCCTCTTCTTCATACAAGGGGCTGACAGGACTATTCTCTTTATGGGTAGAGTTGCTAGCCCCAGTGCAGCAGCTAGCCCCAATGTAGTGGCTAGCCCCAATGAAGCCTAAGTCATCCATTTCTTTGTAATTTTGTGTTTTGCATGATGTGTACAGTATCTCAAATAAATGTTATTTTATCTTAATGTTTATTAACTTTCCTTAAGCATTATTTAAACTGCCTTTTCCATGGATTTTTTAAGAATCATCCGAACTGAATTATCTCTTGTCCATACAGAAATACAGTGGAACACCTTGTCCCTACTTTTTGATTTGTATCACAGTATTTTTACTTCATTCTATTGTAAGTCTTTTAAAGTTTGTGTATCCAAAAATAGATAATACTAGTACTTTTTCAATATGAATAAAACTATACTTTCAAAGCTTGGTTTCTCTAAAATGTATTCAATTGGTTTGCAATGTAAATGAAAGGAGTCTTCAGAGATGCCTGAACTAATTTTTTGAAATAAAATAGTAACATCCAATAAGGCTTAATACTGCAATGAGCAATGAGACCATTGCACAGACAGGAAAGGGGGAAAACAATGCTTTCAGAACTCCTATTGTTTTTAGTTTGAAAAAAAAAAAAATTATTTTTGTAATTCTTTAAAGGATAATTGTCTCTATGAACAAAACATCAGTGTATATGATTAATACAATAAATGTAAATGTTTTCAGAGAAGTGTTAGAATATTTTATTTGTAGTTCCTCATTAATTGAATAAAAATGGTGTAATTTTTTAAAAGCTTCATTATGACAAAGATGGCAAACAAATCTTATCCCTGTATTATTTTTTTCCAATACATAACTAAAACATTTGTAAGTGAATACATCTGATGTATGACATAATAAAATTGGAATTTTCTCAGCACAGAATGAGAACATTACAGGTTGATAGTCCATGGTTGTCCATGCTACAAAACTATTGCTCAAATGAAAAATGTTAATACATCTGCTTTACATTTCTCTTCAGGCCTGAACTAATTTTTTGCATGAATTATTTCTGCATTTCTTATATTTTAAAAACCAAGTTTTGGAATAATTTTCCAAGCAATTGTTCCCAAATAACATATTTCAGGAAGCTTTCAATAATGGATGGAAATAGTAAATGAATCCTAGTAATGTGAATGGAAAAATATATTTGAGAAGACAGGCTTTGGAATGCTGTAGAATCTGCTCCAACACTCCTTTCAATTCTGACCTTTCACAGGAGACCATGAAATATAAACTTTTTGGGTGGATAGAGCCAAATCGTAAATCATAGATTCCCTATGAGTGCGCGGAAGTGGGGGTGCTTTGAGGCAGTCAATAGCGGCCACAGAGAATCTACCCAATCAGCACCAAAATATTTTATTTATTATATGCAACAGGAATTTGCCCAAATGAAAATACACTTTACTCATAGGAGGTACGCAATAAGCAAAATGCACATCATTAACAAGAACAAAACATAAACTAAATGCATTCAGTAAAACATGTAATAATAATCAAATATTAAGAATATTTTTATTTGTTTTAAAAATATTTATAAAATACAGTTTACATATGTTGCTCACATGATCAGAAGCATGACCACATCAGCAGGAGTTTAAGACTCTTGTTATTTCCTTTTATTTAAGAGAAAGAAATTACCATATGCAATATTGTATCAGCTGCGACTGAACTTGTTGTACATTGTATTATTCATCATCAGCATTTGGTTGACAGGTTTGAATGAATGCCTGCATACCTAAAACCTCTCACTATAAAGTTATAAGGCAATCAATAAGGTTAAAAGCAATTCATTGAATGACTGATTACTTAGTCAGCTTTCTAGTGAAGTTTATGAAGAGCACAGTTCCATTTTGCTACATACAGAAGTATGTTGGCTTTCTAAAGGCATTAGGATAGTTTTACTTTCTTGCACTTCATAAGAAAAAGTTATTTAATAATATGCTGGAAATTAAACTGACTTTGAGCAGAAAAACTATTGCCGGGCTTTGGACACAAAAAAGTGGATAAATCTTGTTGCTTTATTTAGTTAATTACTTTCTCTAGTATGTGGTGCAACCAAAATCCGTCTTTTGGTTCCTTGATGCCAAAAAATCTTGTTTGACAGCCAAACAGGTGTCTGTCGGTCTTAAAGCTAGCGCCTAAACCGTTCAGACAATTTTCTCCAGAATTGATGCAAGGGGACGAGTGTAAATTAATTTAAAAAAAGCCTTAGCTGTCTTTGCAGAAAAATAGTAAACAGTAATATAACCACAAACACTCACCCCAACATCAAGCTAGCAGATGATAACAGCAAACAAATAACTAATTCTTTAGAAGTGATTGAACTGCTCAACACATATTTCTCAACAATATCAAAACCAAGCATTACTACAAAAAATAGGTTAATAATTAAATCAATAATCTTAGATGACCCCCACACAACTAGTTCAGTATAGTTATGTATCCGACAGATGCTAAAGAAGTCAGAGACAAAAAATATCATCAGGGTGGGTCAAAATATCATTTGAATTATTAAAGAAATGTCTCCATACAATTGTGACACCATTAATATATTTAATAAATGACTCGCTTAATATTGGAATATTTTGAGAAACACTGAAACTTTCAATAATAATGCCATTGTACAAAAATGGTGAAATATATCTAGTCTCAAATTACAGACCAATAGCCCAAACTCTCACATTCAGTAAAGTAATAGAAAAAGGTATATTAAACAGAACTATAAAATTTTTCAAGGCAAACAATATTCTCTCAAGCCAACATGGTTTTAGGAAAGATGTGTCAACATTAATGGCATTTTCAGAACTCAGCAACATGACATCAAGCCTACGAGATGAAGGATGAAAAGCAGCAGCTCAATTGACTAAAGCATTTGATAGTGTTAATCCCAATTTACTGCTAGACAAACAAGAAAGATATGGAATCAGGAGCCCTAGAATTGTTGACTTAATTTGTAGATGGGTGCAAACAAAGTACTACTAGTAGAATAACAGAGAACGGCAATTCTAATACCATCACAATGCAAGGAGAGGTACTGCAGGGATCAGTACTTGGCCTTTTTCTTTCATTGTTTTTGCAAATGGTTTAAGACCACAGGACAACACTAAATTAATCAAGTATGCAGATGACACTATGATACTATGTTGGCATAAATCAATATGTAAACTGAACAAATTCATTGGCAGCAGTCTACAGCACATGACCGTACCACACTGTTATTTAAAACTAAACATATATGTAAGTAAAAGAAATTTCATCACACTAACAAAAACACTTGAGATATATCATTCAGAAGTTTCAAAATGGAGAATACACTAGTACAAAGTGTTGAACAAGTAAAGTTGTTAGGAATTCAAATAGATAGATAATTAACATAGGACAAACAGACAGACAAAGTTTGCAATATACTTTGCCCAGGAATATTTATATTGAGATCACTCAACTGACTGCTGTATATACACAACCTCAAAACTACATATAATGGAAAGATTTGTCATCATCTCACCTACAGGAAACACATTTGAGGAGGTACTTACACTACACACATGTCAAGATTATATACTGTCTCAAATAAGCTATAAGAGCAATATTTAAAATGAAGAGAATCGATCGCTTTAAAATGATATTTCCAAATTAAAACATTCACACAATTTCTGGACATTATGCATACAATAGAATACTGCACACAAAATATAATACAGATGCAATAGAGATGAAAAACACACACATTTATGACACCTATAACCAAACTGACAAGCATGTAATAAGTACATAAAAAAACAAAAAATAACAAACAAACAACAAAATGCTAGAAATTCAAAGAATGCAGGGTTAAAACTTTACAATAACCTACCTAACATCATAAGACAGCCAAATTTAGCAGATGCCAAATTTAAAAAATCATCTTAAACATCATCCACCTAATAAAAAAAGAGCTATATACCAAGCAGATACTGAATGTTTCCCCTATTGATACTCTTATCTGTTGGTGTAAAGAAACATGAAAATTGACATGAAAATATGTTGTAATTATTTTTCTGCATTTTATAATTTAATGATTATGATCTTACTGTATATGTTGTTGTAATATTAAATAGCTATTTTGTAAGAATTATATAATGTAAAACTTATGTATGTATTATATAATGTAACTTTTATGCATATATTAATTAATTGCCATGTAAATTGCAGTTATGCATTGTTATTTTAAAAGTAAAAATTTGTTTCTTTTCATTCATTTTATATTTTAAATTTGATACTTTTTATTCATTCTTTATTTTCAAATTGATATTATTTTATTGGAAAATTGTATTCTGTGTTATCAGGTCTTGCGCACAAGACTGTGTTCTTGGCTAGATTCAAAATTATAAGTATTGTTAAGTATAATAGTGCTCATTGTGTAACCCTGACCATGACTTCAAATTGTAACAACAATTAGATGACTATTAATAAATATTATCTTATTATTATTATTGTTAGCAGCAGCTTCTGCAAAACAGGCAGATCTACTTACTTCCAACACTTGTAAGTTCACGTGGATTTTATGGAGCTTATCCAAGGTATTTTAAACACAAATACACTAAAATGGGCTTTACATCCTTTTGCAAAAACAAATTCTGAAGCTTCATCAAATTTGGAAGAGGGACTCTGAGTTCTTCTTTAGTTGTGAGTTGAAAGTAAAATTCAAACATGGATACCAAGAGTTTAATCTTCAAAACCCAATACTAGTTCTTTACCCTGCAATACTCCAGAAATGTTTAATTGCATTTCCTTCATCCTATATGGCTGAGCATGGGTTCATTGCAGTGGCTAATTTACTGTCAAGAAGAGAAAGAGATTACAAATCACTGAACGTGGTGATCTCCGATTGATATTAAGGAAGTTGGAATCTGATATTGACAAATTGTTATCATTCCACCTACCTCAACCATCTCATTAATTTTTTATATTATTAATTTTTTTTTATCCTAATTTTTTATTACTTATTGAGAATTTAATTTAAATTACTTTATTGTACCTTTGGTATTCGTTTTATTAAATTCTAGTTTATGATTTTTAAAAGATAGATAAAACAGATAAATTAGGTACAGATAATACGCAACAACTATTTGATATTTAATGTAAAAGTAACTGTTATGGACAAGATAGCATTGGAATTTTTTTTCTCTCATGGTGATCCAGAAAAGGCTGTAATGCTGTTATGAAAAATTCAATTTTATTTAAAATTATTTACTGTATTGATATGTGAAATTTAAATGCAATTTTTATATATTCAATTTATCTAATCAACATGAAAAATAGTTTACAAAAACACAATGAAAACAAAATTTAACCAAAATGAAATTAGTTTCAAGATTAGTTCCAAGAACAATTAATTGACAATTGATTGTGGAACAGACAGAAAGCAATATAAGAACATTTGTAAAAAGACAAAGTAAATTTTGTGATAGTATGAGCTATTTTGTTATCAGTAATTCGAGGTTACTAGAAATTGAAACAATAAATGTCACTGTAGGTTTCTTAGTAGATGGAAAGTTGAAAAAATAAGTATAATCTTAAAATTTCTAAATATCAGTTTCATCAGATGTTGATGTATTTCAATTCATGGATTAGAACATTTATCTGTTGATGAACTTGTGCAACTTTAAGTTTAAACTTATTTTATTAAACTGTTGATTATGTTTCAACTGATGATTAATGATTATTTTCTCTATGTTGCTTTAATAACAAGGATATCTCAATTGTT